TCCTCTGTGAATTCACAGTGTAGAGCTTGGCTTTCCCTTATTTAAAACTCCCCTAGACTACACCAACAGCAGTTGTTTTGTTGGTGGCCAACAAAATCCAGGCCAAATATGACAAATCCAGGTTGTGCTTACTTGTGGTTATCACTTTGGACAGTCCTGGTCCTCTGGTATTGTTTTTCACTATATGAATGGACACATTGTACTGTTGCCCAGGTGCCAAGCCAGGCTGCATGTAAGATGTCTCTGGCCTCTTCAAGCTGCTGGTGATATCACCATTATCATCCTTTTTCTGTAACACATGGGACAATCAGTTAGTATAGACATGAAAAATCCAGGATCTTTCACTTTATACGGTCTCTATAGATGAAAATATTTCCTCACCATATTATGGAAGACCAGCTCCCAGCCATCAAAAGAAAAGTTCAGAGGATCCCACTCCACCTGGACAGATGTTTCTCGTACAGATTTGAATTTCAGACCTTCTGGAGCAGGCAGATCTGTGATAGGAAAAAGGGATATCCTCACATGAGCAATAAGTTTCCAGAAGTAGGACACTGGGGCTAGAGATCTGTCAGAGAAAAACAGAATCCTAGACTGGGTTGGGTTGGAAAGGATGTTAAAGTTCATCTAGTTCACCTCCTCTTCCATGGGCAGGGACATCTTCCACCAGCCCAGGTTGCTTCAAGTCCCATCCAGCCTGGCTTGGAACACTCCCAGGGATGGAGCAGCCACAACTTCTCTGGGCAACCTGTGCCAGTGCCTCAGCATCCTCACAGGGAAGAATTTATTCCCCAAATCCAATCTAAACCTACTCTCTGGCAGTGTGAAGCCATTCCCTCTTGTCTTGTCACTCCAGGCCCTTGTAAAGAGTCTCTCCATCTTTCCTGTAGCTCCTTCAGGCACTGGAAGGCCACAATTAGGTCACCTCAAATCTTCTCTTCTCCAGCTTGAACAATCCCAATTCTCTCAGCCTTTTCTCATAGCAGAGATGCTCCATTCCTCTAATCCTCTGGAGTCACTCTAACAGGCTCCTGTCCTTCCTGTGTTGGTGCCCCAGAGCTGGAGGCAGCACTGCAGGTGAGGTCTCACCTGAGCAGAGCAGAGGGACCAATCCCCTCCCTATACCACCACTATAAATACCTGCCATGTAGGGATCAGCATCTGAGACAGTTAAACCCTCCTCACAGCTAGTTATTCTGCCTCTGACCTGTTTTAGATGTCACCTTATGAATTTTGCCCTAGAAATCTCTTTCTTGTGCCCTTTTGAAAGAAGCCTGGTGTGGACATTTGAAGTTAGGTGAGCTGAATCCTGCTCCAGGTCTCTAAAAATGAGTCCAGTGACCGAAGTCAAAGAGCATCTTTTGAGGTTGGGATGTTTAGATATGACTGATGTGCACAACATAAAAAGGAAGATGAACAGCAAAAGAACAGACAGAGATAAAAGTTGTGGTGAAACACACTGAAGATGCAAAACAAATACAACCTCCATTTTAGGCAAAGCAGTTTGAAGTCATTTCATGTTGCACTTTGCACACTGCTATATTTTAATATTTTTGTTTTGTTTTCAGGAAGAATTACTAGAATTTAAAAATCTACATTATAATAAAGAAGCAAAGGGGCTAAATCTACAAAGACCACATGATATTGGAGAAGAGAAGACTCAGTGGAGACCTCATAGCAACTTTTCAATATCTGAAGGGCCTACAAGGGAGCTGGAGAGGGACTCTGTGTTAGGAGCTGCAGTGATAGGTCAAGGGGTAATGAGGGCAAATTGAAGGAGGGAAAGTTTAGGTTAGATATTAGGAAGAAGTTTTTTCCTGTGAGGATGGTGAGACATTGGCACAGGTTGCCCAGGGAGGTCATGGATGCCCCAACCCTGGAGGTGTTCAAGGCCAGGTTGGATGAGGAGCTCTCCTAGGGGTAATGAGGTCAAATTGAAGGAGGGAAAGTTTAGGTTAGATATTAGGAAGAAGTTTTTTCCTGTGAGGATGGTGAGACATTGGCACAGGTTGCCCAGGGAGGTAATGGATGCCTCAACCCTGGAGGTGTTCAAGGCCAGGTTGGATGAGGAGCTGTCCTTGCCCAGGGCAGGAGGTTGGGACTAGATGATCTGTAAGGTCCATTCCAACCCTTAAATTCTATGGTTCTATGATTTGTTGGGTGGCATTGTAGGAGTGGAAGAGCTTGTGAACTGTGCTTTTAACACAGTCACTGGTATTGGAAAAGAATAGAAAATTAAGTGCTTTGTCTAGAACAGAAGATGAATTGAAAGTAGAAAACACAAAAGAAATGTCCCCCCAAAAAGGGATGCAAATCTATTCATATGAATAAAAACTGGAAAGTACAAAATAAATGATATCCAAAAAGGAGATATAAAGCAAGACCCAGTAATTGAAAACAGAAAATACAGGATAAGTGATAGCTGAAATAAGGGATTCAAATCAGTGCATACTATGGAATAGAAAAAAAGAAGGAACACAAGGAATGTTAAACTCACATGTTGCTACTCTGGCGCTGACTGGAATACTCTTCTTGTTCTTAAGGATTGCAAAGACACGGATGAAGTATTCTACCCCAGGCTCCAGTTCATGGATAGTGGCAGCTGTCTGGTTTCCTGGCACAGTGAACTGCATGTCCAAGCCACCACTGCTGGTAGGGACATAGGTGACAAGGTACTTGTTGACGAGATTCTCATGTTTCCATTCCAGGTTGACAGTTTTATCTGTTACGTTTGTCACAGTCAGCTCAGTTGGAGGAGACACTGGGAATGGGGGAAGAAAAGCCAAAACAAAGTTATAAGACATTTTCAAGGCTCAGAAAATAATGACTTACCCAGTTTCACATTTTCCCAGGAGCAGTTCTGAAAATCATCTAACAAACAGGGAATGGGGATGCCATGGCTCACAAATTAGCTGCTGAGGAAAGGAATGTTCAGCTGATGAAGACTACAGGCATTTCCAAAAGTCAGGGGCCAATTTCTACTCTCACACTTGCACACAACCCCTGGCTGACTGTCTTCCAGCTCCTCCTCTCATGGCTGCTGCACAAGACTACTATAGCAGTGTCTCTAGGGATTCAGATGTTTAATTTAACTGCCAATAACATGTGATTGTGTAGCTAAAAGTCCTGGAATTTGCACAGATTTTCCAAAGTGAAATAAAATATTATTATTTTAGTAAAGACTTTCAATAGATCTGCATGAGCAGGAGCACAAAATGGGGCTTAGGCACCTTCCAGAAGGAGGAGATAAAAGATGGGAATTTCTTTTCAAAAGTATTCATTGTCTTTTATAGTGTTCCCAATCCCAAAATACTCTTTGATTACTCTACAAAGATCTTATTTTCATAATTCTTCCCCTGGGATCTACTAAAGAAAACGACCTCATTTATAGCTTAATCCCTGTCATTATCTAGCTGCCAAATGTTTCTATCAATTTCCATAGTCAGTGGTAGTGGGAAACTAAACATGTGACTTTATAGCTAAGTTTCCACTCCTGCTGATTCCATGATTTTCCTCTAAGCTTCTGTAAGATCTAGCATACACCCTGAAATATAGGATTTATATATATATATATACACACACACACACGTGTGAGTGTAGTAAGACTTTGGCTACATCTCCCTCTTCTCCATAGCTAGAACAGTTTCTTTCACATGCTCTTTATTTTTTAGCATCAAGAGGTACTATGAGAAACTGAAAGGTCATGGGGTCAAATCCCAGCCAGTGTTGGCTACAGCTCCAGTGACATTGTGCTGGGATCAAACTTGGAGGCAACAAATGAACTGTGTCACCACTACCAGCCTGTTGACCACTAAGAGTCACCAGCAACTTCTAGACCTGTTAAGTAAAAGAAACCAAGAGCTTTCTACTGGTGTCATTACATCTCTGATTCAGCCGTTTGCACTGTGGTAAAGAAGAGCAGCAACATGGAAAAATGCTCACAGAAGTTGCTGGATTGACACAGGGAATTACCAAGGGGAATCATAGATTCATAGGATCAACCTGGTTGGAAGAGACCTTAAAGATCATCGAGTCCAACCCTACTGTAATCACTAGACCATGGCACTAAGTGCCACATCCAGTCTCAGCTTGGAAACCTCCAGGGATGGTGAATCCACCACCTCCCTGGGCAGCACATTCTCATGTCTGAGCACTCTCTCTGCAAAAAATCTCTTCCTAATATCCAACCTACCCCTCCCCTGGCAGAGCTTGAGTCTGTGCCCTCTTGTCCTGCTGCTGGTTGCCTGGGAGAAGAGACCAACCCCCACCTGACTCCAACCTCCTGTCAGGGAGTTGCAGAGGGTGAGAAGGTCTCCCCTGAGCCTCCTCTTCTCCAGGCTGAACACCCCCAGCTCCCTCAGCCTCTCCTCATGGCACTTGTGCTCCAGTCCCTTCACCAGCCTCGTTGCTCTTCTCTGGACCTGCTCCAGTCCCTCAATGTCCCTCCTGAACTGAGGGGCCCAGAACTGCATACAGTACTCAGAACTGCTCAGGAAGAGCAGTTCAAAAGGAACATTGCAACTTACCATCCGAGCAGTCAACCCCGATGAAACCATCCTCGCAGACACACTGCCCATCGACACAGCGCCCCGCGTTGTTGCAGTCGTTGGGGCAGGAGCGCTCGCGGCAATCCTCCCCCATGAAGCCCTCGTGGCACACACAGCGCCCATTGACGCAGCGCCCGCGCTGGTGGCAGTCGTTGGGGCAGGACAGCTCGCCACAGTCCTCGCCTGTGAAACCATTGTCACACTCACAACGTCCCTCCACGCAGCGCCCGCGATTGTGGCAGTCTTCGGGGCACCGCAGCTCCCCACAGTCCTCCCCCGTGTACCCTTCGTCGCACACGCACTGCCCGTTGACGCAGAGCCCGCGCCGGTGGCAGTCGTTGGGACACCTCAGCTGGCCACAGTCCTCCCCGGTGAATCCCTCGTGGCACACGCACTGCCCGTCGACGCAGCGCCCGCGGTTGTGGCAGTCGCTGGGGCACCGCAGCTCCCCGCAATCCTCGCCGATGAACCCTTCGTCGCACACGCACTGCCCGTTGACGCAACGCCCGCGGTGGTGACAATCGTTGGGGCACCTCAGCTCCCCGCAGTCCTCACCCAGGTACCCCTCGTGGCACACGCAGCGCCCGCTCACGCAGCGCCCGCGGTTGTGGCAATCGTTGGGGCATCTCCTCTCGCCGCAGTCGTCCCCCACGAAGCCTTCGTAGCAGACGCACAACCCGTTCTCGCAGCGCCCGTTGCCGTTGCAGTTGTTGGGGCAGGTGAGCTCGCCGCAGTCCTCCCCGGTGAATCCCTCCTCGCAGAAGCAGGTCCCGTTGACGCAGCGCCCGCGGTCGAAGCAGTCGTTGGGGCAGATGAGCTCGCTGCAGTCCTCGCCGGTGTAACCCTCGTCGCAGCCACCCTCGCTGTCCACGCAGCGCCCGCG